GCCGTTCGGGGCCTCGGGCCGAAGGGTGGAGGAGCGGGTGGGAGCCCGCTGGCGGGGGGCTGCGGAGGGGGCTGTGGGTGCTCGTCCGGGCCGGGGAAGGGGGGGGGGCTGGGTTTGGAATCACGGGGTCCCGGGTGGAGGGAGCCCGGGGGTCAGCCCGGGGGTCAGCCCGGGGTCCGGTATTTCTTGCCTAAAGCGCGGGTGTAGACGGGACAGCCCAGCGCCCTGCCCCGGGCAGGATGGTGAAGGTGTCCGGTGCTGGGGGATCCGCCGCTGCCCCGGGGAGGCTGTTCCCGTGGCCGATTGTTCTCAGCCTGAAACATTTTCCTCTTGTTTCCCATCGGAATCTCCCCCGGAGCAACTCGTACCCGTTACCCCTCAGCTTTTCTGTGTTACTCCTTGTAAAAAAACAGGGAGTTTCCATCTTTGTAGCCCCCCTTTAAATACCAGAACGTGGTGGTGGGATATCTCCCCTAAGCCTTCTTTTCTCAGGGGTGAACAAACCTTGAGGTGTTTTCCCAAGGTGGCGGGGGTGAGACCCCCCCGGTCTCGGTGGGTGGGATGCAGGGGGATGCTCAGAGCATCCCTGGGCACCCGCAGGGCTGCCGGTGGCTCGGCCTCTCCTCCTTTCCCAGGAGCTGCTGGTCTGGCAGCGACTGAGGTGCAGGAGGTGTGGGGATGTAGGGGACGGGTACCATATGGTGGGCACCCCCCACCTGTTTGCAGGACTTGTGTGGACATCAGGGAGGCACCAGAGTGGGTGTCTGTGGCGGGAGCGGGTTCAAGGGATCCCAGAATTGTCAGAGTTGGAAGGAACCTCTAGAGATCATCCAGTCCAACTCCCCTGCCAAAGCAGGGTTGCCCAGAGCACATCACTCAGCAGCATCCAGGCGGGGCTTGAAGATCTCCAGAGAAGGGGACTCCACACCCTCCCTGGGCAGCCTGTTTCAGGGCTCTGCCACCCTCACCCCAAAGAAGTTCTTCCTCAGATTGGAGTGGAACTTCCCCTGTTCCAGCTTGTGCCCGTTGCCCCTCGTCCTGTCACTGGGAACCACTGAAATGGTCCTTTCACTGGGATGGGACGGGGGTTACGACCCTGCAGGAGCCTCTTGGTGGGGAGCTGTTTTTTCTGCAAAGATAAACTTGGGGCAAGGCGGGGGGAATGAGAGTGCAGGTGTCAAGGGTCCCCTGTGACATGCAGCTCCTGCGTGGTGGCTGGGAGGTGGCGGGCTCTGTCAGGCTGTACGCAGGGAAGGAGCCCGTGGAAGTTTCTTCTCTGAATAACATCCCCCCTCGAGTTGGGAGACGGAAGCAGCTGCTTCACTTCCTTCTGCTGCCCTTGAGACAAGTCGGGACAGGTCCACGAAAAGGCTGGTTTCCCTTCAGCGAGCAGGAAAGTGGTGTCCCCCACCCCCCCAAGTGCTGAGAGCAAAGTCTTCTCTCAGTAGCAGTAGCTTGGAGGTGAACAAACAGCCTTCCCCCCAGACAGACACACAGCTCAGCCACACTCAGGGCCACGGTGGTGGCCAGGACGGTGCAGGTGGCCGAGCAGCACGGCTGGAGGGTGACTGGGGGCTGGGGACACCGTGTCTTGGTGGCTGACAATCCTGACACTCCCCAGGCCAGCGCTCAGAGGTGGATCTGTGTGCTGTGGAAGGGGCAGCTGCTGCTGGGCCTTGGGAATGTTTTTCAGGGCTGGTTCGGTACCTGGGCTTGGGGAGAAGCTGCCCCAAAAAAGGGGCTGAAGCTTTCAGAGGCTCACAGTGCGAGAGGAGCTCGTTTGGTGTCACTGGGGTTATTCAGCCTGGAGAAGAGGAGGCTGAGGAGAGACATTATTGCTCTCTACAACTCCCTGAAAGGAGGGTGTAGAGAGATGGGGGTCGGTCTCTTCTCCCAAGTCACAGGCGACAGGACAAGAGGAAATGGCCTCAAGTTACACCAGGGGAGGTTCAGGCTGGATATTAGGAAAAATTTTTTCACTGAAAGGGTTCTCAGGCATTGGAATGGGCTGCCCAGGGAGGTGGTTGAGGCCCCATCCCTGGAGGTGTTCAAAAGCCGGGTTGATGAAGTGCTGGGAGGTCTGGTTTAGTGATGGTGCTCCTTGTTTGTTGTGTGGGTGTCTATTTTTGTCAGTTGGGTTGACGGTTGGACAAGATGATCTTTAAGGTCCCTTCCAACCTAGAAGATGATTCTGTGATTTATCCATTGATGGTGCCTGTGCAGATGGGGTTTGTGTTCCTGGCGGGGGGTTGTGGTGTCTTGGGGGAGGTTCCTTCAGTGGGCAGAGCAGTGGGTGGCAGCGGGATGTGGTTGCTGCCTGTAACCTCCTCTCTCCCTTTTCCCCCCCCAGCTTACCTCTCTCGGAACAGCATGGCGCGACGCACGCGGAGCAGCAGGGCCTGGCACTTCGTCCTGAGCGGGGTGCGGCGGGAGGTGGACACCCGGGCGGTCGCCTTGGCCACCGGGGCACGCGGCTGGGGCTACGACTCCGACGGGCAGGTAGGGCTGGGGGGTGGCTCTGAAGTGACAGGAGGGGAAAGCTGTCCTCTCCCCCTGACAGCGGGCGCTTTCTCAAGGTCCCCGTGACTGAGCAGCTGATCCTTCGGCACATAGAGCTGGCCAAAAATCAGAAGAGACTTAATAAAATACATAGGCTGTCTGACCACCCCCCTGCGTGGGGTGTGGGGCTCCCAGTACACATTCCCGAAGCAGGGAATGCTAAGCTGACCGCAGGGAGCTGATGGATACTGAGATCAATGCTTTTTTCAGCATAGAATGTGTGTGACTCCTATATAAAGTACATAGAATATGTTTTTTAAATATTCTTTTTCAAGTACTTAATGGCTGGAAGTCCAGATGGAGAGCAGTGAGAAGTGGTATCCCCCAGGGGTCTGTGCTGGGACAGATACTGTTTAACATGTTTATCAATGATATAGACAGAGGGATTAAAGGCACCATCAGCAAGTTTGCAGATGACACCAAGCTGTGTGGTGGTGTCAATACACCAGAGGGATGGGATGTCATCCAAAAGGACCTGGACAGGCTGGAGAGGTGGGCCCAGGTGAACCTTATGAGGTTCAACAAGAGCAAATGCAGGGTTCTGCACCTGGGCCAGAACAATCCTCACCATCAGTACAGGCTGGGGGGTGAGGTATTAGAAAGCAGCCCTGAGGAAAGGGACTTGGGGGTGCTGGTGGAGGAGAAGCTGGACATGAGCAGGCAGTGGGCAGTTGCAGCCCAGAAGGCCAGTCCCATCCTGGGCTGCATCAAAAGATGCGTTGCCAGCAGGTCCAGAGAGGGGATTCTGCCACTTTACTCTGCTCTGGTGAGACCTCACCTGGAGTATTGTGTGCAGGTCTGGAGCCCTCAATATAAGAAGGACATGGACCTGATGGAGAGGGTCCAGAGGAGGGCCACAAGGATGATCAGGGGGATGGAGCACCTCTGCTACGAGGACAGGCTGAGGGAGCTGGGGTTGTTCAGCCTGGAGAAGAGGAGGCTCCGGGGAGACCTAATAGCAGCCTTCCAGTACCTGAAGGGAGCCTACAGGAAGGCTGGGGAGAGCCTGTTTAGAAAGGCCTGCAGTGACAGGACGAGGGGCAATGGCTTCAAGCTGGAGGGGAACAGATTTAGACTGGAGATGAGGAGAGGGTTCTTCACTGTGAGGGTGGTGGAGCACTGGAACAGGTTGCCCAGGGAGGTGGTTGAGGCCCCTTCCCTGGAGATATTCAAGGAGAGGCTCGACGAGGCCCTGGGCAACCTGGTCTAGTTGGGGGTGTCCCTGCTGACTGCGGGGGGGTCAGACTAGATGGCCTTTGGAGGTCCCTTCCGGCCTGGGCAATTCTATGATTCCCCAGCTTGCCCCGCCTGTCCTCGTAGCAGAGGTGCTCCATCCCCCTGATCATCCTCGTGGCCCTCCTCTGGACCCTCTCCATCAGGTCCATGTCCTTCTTATACTGAGGGCTCCAGACCTGCACACAATACTCCAGGTGAGGTCTCACCAGAGCAGAGTAAAGTGGCAGAATCCCCTCTCTGGACCTGCTGGCAACGCATCTCTTGATGCAGCCCAGGAAGGGATTGGCCTTCTGGGCTGCAGCTGCCCACTGCCTGCTCATGTCCAGCTTCTCATCCACCAGCACCCCCAAGTCCCTTTCCTCAGGTCCCAAAGCAGGACTGGCACAGCCCCTCGCCTGGCAGTTTAGGCTGTGCTGGCACAAGCTTGGGGGACCTCCCCGCACAGCTCTGCGGCACCCCACACCTCGGTGACCTCTGCCACCCCACCAGCCTTGGGTAGTGACCGTTCCTCCCCCTCTCCCCGACAGCACAGCGACTCGGATTCGGAGCCGGAGTTCTCCTCCCTCTCGCCCTCCATCCCCAGCGCCATCCCCGTCACCGGAGAGTCCTACTGCAACTGTGAGAACCAGAGCGAGGCGCCCTACTGCTCCAGCCTGCACGCCCTGCACCGCGTCAAGGACTGCCAGTGTGGCGAGGAGGACGAGTGTAAGGAAGGGGGTCCCCAACGCCCCCCACCCCACCGTAGTCCTTTGGGGTGTAAGGGGGCACAGTCCCGGCCTGCTGGCACAGACAGTGCCCCTCCATGGGTCTGTATCTCTGTCCCAGCGCGCGGCACTCCTCTGTTTCCATCTCAAAGCCACGTAGACTGTAGGAAGATGAGAAGCACGTGGGCTTAGAATCATAGAATGGTCTAGGTTGGAAGAGACCCTTGGGATCATCGAGTCCAACCATCTCCCCTACTCTACAAAGTCCTCCCCTACACCATGTCCCTCAGCACTGCATCTAAACGGCCCTTAAACACAGCCAGGGATGGGGACTCCACCCCCTCCCTGGGCAGCCTGTTCCAATGCCCGACCACTCTTTCGGTGAAAAATTCTTTCCTAATGTTCAATCTAAACCTCCCCTGTTGGAGCTTGAAGCCGTTCCCTCTCGTTCTGTCACTAATTACCTGCGAGAAGAGACCAGCCCCAACCTCTCTACAGTGTCCTTTCACGTAGTTGTAGAGAGTGATGAGGTCTCCCCTCAGCCTCCTCTTCCTCACACTAAACAGCCCCAACTCCCTCAGCCGCTCCTCATACGATTTGTTTTCCAGCCCCCTCACCAGCTCCGTTGCCCTCCTCTGCACTCGCTCCAGCACCTCCAGATCTCTCTTGTTCAGGGGCTGAGTGTTGAAATCAGAGTTCACCTCTTGGGGACCTGCTTTCAAATCCTGGCTGAGGCCACCAGTGAAACCAGCCCTTGTGGTTACAGCCCCCTTGCCCCTGGCAGGGCCTGCTCGGAGCAGAGGGGAGAGATGTGGCTGAGAAAGCCCGTGGCACAGCGGGGCTACCCCTTGAGGGCTGTGAGGAGTGGAGGATGAAGAGAGGCTCCGCCTGGTAGCCTTGTGTTAGCCAAAATGGGAACTAATTAATGCTGACAGCTTCAGAGCACTGACCCATCCCTGGTGGGACGCGGCAGAATAATTCAGGCCTCAAACAACTCCGTGATGTGCACAGTTAGGATTTACCCCCTTAAACAGTAAAAAAAGAATAACAAATAAACCCCTGACAGGGTTTCAAAAGACATGTCCGCCTGTGCTTTGGCTTGAGGATGGCTCCCTGAGGGCCTTTGCTCATCCTTGTCTCTTCTCTGCTTCCCAAACAGATTTCGACTGGGTGTGGGACGACCTGAATAAGTCAACAGCCACCCTGCTGACCTGTGACAACCGCAAGGTGAACTTCCACATGGAGTACAGCTGTGGCACCGCCGCCATCCGGGGCAACAAAGAGCTGGCAGATGGGCAGCACTTCTGGGAGATCAAGATGACCTCCCCAGTCTATGGCACAGACATGGTACGTGTTGCTCGTGAGCAGGGAGAAGTGTCCTGTGTTCCTTGAACAGGGACTGGGAGAACGAGGAACCACCCACCGTAGGAGGAGATGAGGTTTAAGGCCATCTAAGGAACTTCTGAAGGTCCACAAGTCCGTGGGACCTGATGAGATCCATCCATGGGGTCTGAGGGAGGTGGCAGAGGAAGTTGCTAAACCACTATCCATTGTATTTGAAAAACTGTGGCAGACTGGTGAAGTTCCCAGTGACTGGAAAAGAGGAAACATTTGACAAAAATAGGGGAAACCCCCTATTTTTAAAAAGAGAAAAAAAAAAAGAGGACCTGGGGAACTGCAGGCTGGTCAGTCTCACCTCTGTGCCTGGGGAGAGCACTGAATTTCACTGAATTTTTAGAGTTGGAAGGGACCATAGAGATCATCTAGTCCAAAATCTGCAGATCCTCCTGGAATCTCTGCTAAGACACATGGAAAATGTGTTTGGTGACAGCCAACGTGGCTTCACTGAGGGCAAATTGTGTCTGCCAAATTTGGTGACCTTCCATGAAGGGGTTACAGCATTGGTAGGTGCTGTAGTAGAGCAACTGTTGTGGTAGAACAACTGACATCATCTACCTGGACTTGTACAAAGTGCTTGGTACTGTCCCACAGTGTCTTTAATTTGGAGAGACATGGTCTGCAGATCCTCCTGGAATCTCTGCTAAGACACGTGGAAAATGTGTTTGGTGACAGCCAACGTGGCTTCACTGAGGGCAAGTTGTGTCTGCCAAATTTGGTGACCTTCCATGAAGGGGTTACAGCATTGGTAGGTGCTGTAGTAGAGCAACTGTTGTGGTAGAACAACTGACATCATCTACCTGGACTTGTACAAAGTGTTTGGTACTGTCCCACAGTGTCTTTAATTTGGAGAGACATGGATTTGATGGGTGGAGCACTCGGTGGGTAAGGAACTGGCTGAATGGCTGCACTCGGGGAGTTGCAGTCAACAGCTTGATGTCCCAGTGGAGACCAGTGATGAGTGGGATCCTTCAGGGGTCTGCGTTGAAACCAGTATTGTTCAACATCTTTGTTGGGGACACAGACAGTGGGCTTGAGGGCACCCTGAGCAAGTTTGTGGATGACACCAAGCTGAGATGACACCCTAAAGGGAAGGGATGGCATCCAGAGGGACCTGGAAGTGTTTGGTACTGTCCCACAGTGTCTTTAATTTGGAGAGACATGGATTTGATGGGTGGAGCACTCGGTGGGTAAGGAACTGGCTGAATGGCTGCACTCGGGGAGTTGCAGTCAACAGCTTGATGTCCCAGTGGAGACCAGTGATGAGTGGGATCCTTCAGGGGTCTGCGTTGAAACCAGTATTGTTCAACATCTTTGTTGGGGACACAGACAGTGGGCTTGAGGGCACCCTGAGCAAGTTTGTGGATGACACCAAGCTGAGATGACACCCTAAAGGGAAGGGATGGCATCCAGAGGGACCTGGACAGGCTGGAGAAGTGGGTCTGTGTGAACCTCATGAGGTTTAACCAGGCCAAATGCAGGGTCTTGCACCTGCACTGGGGCAACCCATGGTCCCAGCACAGGCTGGGGATGGAGGGATGGAGAACAGCCCTGAGGAGAAGGACCTGGGGGTGTTGGTGGGTGAGAAGCTCAACATTCACAGGCAACATGAGCTGGCAGCCCAGAAACCCCCTCTGCTCTGGGGAGACCCCCCCCCAGTGCTGCCTCCATCTCTGGGGCCACCAACATCAGAAGGACATGGAGCTGTTGGAGTGGGGCCAGAGGAGGCCCCGGAGATGCTGGGAGGGCTGGAGCCCCTCTGCTGGGAGGGGGGGCTGAGAGAGTTGGGGGATTCAGCCTGGAGAAGAGAAGGCTCTGGGGAGACCTTGGAGCCCCTTCCAGTCCCTAAAGAAGGGGGGCTCCAGGAAAGCTGGGGAGGGACTCTGGATGAGGGAGGGGAGCCCTAGGAGGAGGGGGAAGGGTTGGACCCTGCAAGAGGGGAGATGGAGCTGAGCTGTGGGGAAGAACTTGTTTGGTGTGAGGGTGGTGAGAGCCTGGCCCAGGTTGCCCTGAGAAGCTGTGGCTGCCCCATCCCTGGAGGGGTTCAAGGGCAGGTTGGAGGGGGCTTGGAGCAACCTGGTGTGGTGGGAGGTGTCCCTGCCCAGGGCAGGGGGTGGCATGAGGTCCCTTCCAACCCAAACCATTCTATGAACAGGAGAGCAACCTTCTCCATCAGTTCAGCTGGACCTCCTCGCTTTGGAAAGGAAATTGGAGGTGGGAGCCTTCAGCTCCGGCCCAAAACCTCTGACTTGGCTTCACCAAAACCTCTGGGTGTTTTGAACTTGGCCAAGAAAAAGAGGGGAGTCTTGGTTTCATTGCTTGAAAAGGCGCTAAGCTTGTGTTCTTCCTCCTGGCCTTGCCTTCCAGATGGTGGGAATTGGGACGTCGGATGTGAACCTGGACAAGTACCGCCACACCTTCTGCAGCCTGCTGGGCAAGGACGAGGACAGCTGGGGACTGTCCTACACGGGTAAGGAGCGTTGTCCTAAGGGGCTGAGAATTAAATGGGATTTTTTAGGCACTGAGTGAGGCTGTGCCAGTGGGAACTTGGGTGTGGGAGTTGGGATGAATTCCTGGAGCTCAGGATTTCCACTGAATGCTGGGGTTTTTTTTGTGTTTTAAGGACTTCTGCATCACAAGGGAGACAAAACAAACTTCTCCTCGAGGTTTGGCCAGGGCTCCATCATTGGGGTGCATTTGGACACGTGGCATGGGACGCTCACGTTCTTCAAGAACCGCAAGTGCATAGGTAAGGGCAAGGGCAGCCACAGGGGGAGGGACTGGGAAGGGGGGTAGAAAATGTTCATAAAGGAGAAGACCGAGGTGTGAGGGGAGCAGGAGGAAGGTTATACTTGTCCTTTGATAGATTGAGGTTTCAAGGGGCTGTTTCCCAACAGCTAAGAGGTTCAAGGGTAGGTGGGAGGAGTGAGATCACCTCCTCAAAACTAACACAACCCCCCCTGGCTGCTCTCCCCGGGCAGGCGTCGCCGCTACCAAGCTGCAGAACAAGAAGTTTTACCCCATGGTGTGCTCCACGGCCGCCAAGAGCAGCATGAAGGTGATCCGCTCCTGCGCCAGCTGCACCTCCCTCCAGTACCTCTGCTGCTACCGCCTGCGCCAGCTCCTGCCCGACTACGTGGACACGCTGGAGGTGCTGCCGTTGCCACCGGGACTCAAGCAGGTGCTGCACAACAAACTGGGGTGGGTCTTGAGCATGAACTATAGCACGTCGAAGCCTTCCTCCTCCTCCTCCTCGGTCCTGGCTGCTCTCCCCCAACAGGCGTCGCCGCTACCAAGCTGCAGAACAAGAAGTTTTACCCCATGGTGTGCTCCACGGCCGCCAAGAGCAGCATGAAGGTGATCCGCTCCTGCGCCAGCTGCACCTCCCTCCAGTACCTCTGCTGCTACCGCCTGCGCCAGCTCCTGCCCGACTACGTGGACACGCTGGAGGTGCTGCCGTTGCCACCGGGACTCAAGCAGGTGCTGCACAACAAACTGGGGTGGGTCTTGAGCATGAACTATAGCACGTCGAAGCCTTCCTCCTCCTCCTCCTCGGGAAGCGACTCAGATAGCTCCTGTGGCTCGGACGCAGAGGCCTGCCAAAGGAAGAGGTGCAGGAGGACATAATGGCTCTGCAGACAAACTGTGGGGAGGGAGGGAGTGAGGTGGGTTTTGTTCTGCCATCAGCGAGGGCCGGCCTGGCCCGAGGCACCTCTTTCTTCACGGGGACTTCCATTTCTACCCGTCTGCAAAGATCTCTCTTGTGCTGGTGGAAACCTTCAGCTTAAACATCCATCACGTGCATCGAAGAGCCCTGTCAACTCCCAAGAGGTCCCAGCTCCACGAAGCTGCAGCCAAATAGCGGCGCTTCATCTCCTGACTTCCTCCCAAAGCCGTCGCCTCTTCCTCAAGGACCCCTTTTCTCTGCAGAGACAAGATTTCAGGTGGCCTCCTGGTTTCAAAGCGTGTACTGTCACAGAACGGACTCAACTTATTGAGAGACACAGTTGAAGAGTGTCCCCTCCTCCCCACTGGTGTGTGTTGGTCTCATGGTGTCTGCCGTGAGACTCCTGGTGCTGTGGGGAAACAGGCTCCTGGGGCTGCACCTGCATCATGTTGCTGCTGTGACAGAGCAGTTACACCAGTCGAGCCGTCGGTGACCTTTTCTTGAGCCCCCGATGACTTTAGTTGCTTTGCATGTTGGCTCCTGCTGCTTCTCCTGTATCGAGGACTGTATTAAACTGTAATGGTAAGAGCAGAAACTGTTCTTTCCTTCCTTCCTTCCTTCCTCAGACCTACACCCGTGGCTGCACCTGGGAAGGGAGGCTGCGGGGGTGAAAACACCCGTCCTTGGGCAGCTTAGGGGAAAAACACCCCCAAAGCCTGTCCCAGAGCCTGAGAAATGTAAGTCTTGTGAGGAGAGGCTGAGGGAGCTGGGGGTGTTCTGTCTGGAGAAGAGGAGGCTGAGGGGAGACCTTATCACACTCTATAACTACCTGAAGGGGGGTGTAGAGAAGCGGGGGTCGGTCTCTTCTCCCAAGTCACAGGAGACAGGACAAGGGGAAATGGCCTCACATTGCACCAGGGGAGGTTTAGATTGGATATTAGGAAACATTTCTTCACGGAAAGGGTTCTCCAGCATTGGAATGGGCTGCCCAGGGAAGGGGTTGAGGCACCATCCCTGGAGGTGTTCAAAAGATGGGTTGACGTGGTCCTCAGGAATATGGTTTAGTGATTTTTTTTATTGCTTATTTATTTTTTGTCAGAGTTAGGTTGACGGTTGGACAAGATGATCTTTAAGGTCCCTTCCAACCTAGAGGATTCTATGAAATGGGCACAGCCTCTGTGCCCAGAGAAAGCCCCTTGTTGAGAGGGAAAGGCTGGATTAGAGCCTGGGCCAGCGACTGGTCCTGCAGTGGCCGGGGCTGAAGGGCATTCCAGATTCCCTCGGATTTTAGACAGGCAAGAGGAGGGGAAAGCGCTTGTTACGGTTTGAGAAACCCGTAACTAAACAATTTATTGTCATTTAGACAATTATTCTCTCACCTGATGACCCCTCCCCACCTGGGAAGGGGGGAACTGGGGAAAAAATAAGGAAACCCGAGGGTTGAAATTTAAACAGATTTAATAGAATAAGAGTAAATAATTAACATTAATAACATTAAAGAACCGCTATTGATCCCGATACCAATATAAAACACACAAGGATTATCCCCAGCCCGTTCCATCAGCAGGAGGCTGCTCCCTCCCTCCAGGGACAGCCAGTGTGGGACCCTGCGAGCGCTGCAGCTCCGGGAGGAAGAGGAGGGCTCAGGGCTGTGGCACCAGAACAAAGAGTTCTCTGGACCGTCACCATCAAGGGAGAGAGAGAGAACTCCTCAGCAAACTTCCTAATTTATATTGAGTGTGATGTTTGTGGTATGAAATAATCCTGTTGGCAGCTTGGGTTGCATTTATTCCCCACTGAACCCCACAGATCTGTGCCTTTTCTCCCCCCATGAAGGATCTTTTAAGCAAACACGGGTCTTGCTTCTCTGGTGACAGACCTTGAATGAGAACCTTGACCAGGCAGGACAGGCTCGAAGAGGAGGGCTCAGGGCTGTGGCACCAGAACAAAGAGTTCTCTGGACCGTCACCATCAAGGGAGAGAGAGAGAACTCCTCAGCAAACTTCCTAATTTATATTGAGTGTGATGTTTGTGGTATGAAATAATCCTGTTGGCAGCTTGGGTTGCATTTATTCCCCACTGAACCCCACAGACCCATCTCTTTTCTCCCCCCATGAAGGGTCTTTAAGCGAACGTGGCTCTTGCTTCTCTGGTGACAGACCTTGAATGAGAACCTTGACCGGGCAGGACAAGGCTCGCTCTTGCTCCATCCCTAGGGATGCTGCAGCCAGAAAAAAACAGCCTTTTGCTGGATGGCTCCTCCCCAGGAACTCACAGGTGGAGGCAGAAGAACCCCTGGCAAAGGAGGAACTTGGTTTGGAGGCCGTGCCCCTACTTCTGCAGCACCCAGTGGTGTCACCTGGGGCCAGCGAGCGGCGGTTGATGGGAGGAAGTTCAGGGTTTTCTGTGTCACTGGGGAAGGCCCCAGTTAATGCCACTGCTGTCCTCCTGCCTGTGGCTGTTTCTGAGTGAAAAAAACAAGCATTTGGGAAAAGAGGATCCCATCCTAATTCACATGGAGTTTTCTGGAGCTCAGCTGGCATTTCCTCGTGCTGGGAGTTCAGCCAACAAGCTCCCCTCCCCTGCCCTGAGCTCCATGTTACCCCAAGGATGTGGTTCCTCTCTGCCCAGGTGGTTCTGGCAGTCAGCAGACGTTTTCTGAAGTAACTCCAGCAGGACCCAGCTGCACGAGGAAGCCACCAGCAGCACCAGTCTCAGAGGTCCAGTCTCACCAAAGAGCGAGTGGGGAGCAGGATGTTAAAATTCAGGAAACGCTGCAGAAAATACGTGGCTCATTCAACAACTGGGCCTGAAATGCAGCACAGGACAGACCTATGGAGGAGCTGATCCTGTGCTGCTCGAGGACAAGTCACTAATGCTGTCACATCCAGCCCTTGTTCCAACCATTCCCCAGCTCTGGTAGGAGACAGCCAGCTTTCCAGCCAGGGGGATAGAAACCTGGGGCAGCTGAAAGAGGAAAGGAGAGCCAAGAGGCTGGAGAAAGCCTCTGTAATGACATTTATTGATGTGCAGGCTTCTGTGCTGCAACAGACTTGGCGGTGGATACCATGAAGAGGTAGATGCAGTGGGATAAGTCTGGCCCAACACGGTGGTCTTTCCCCCTGACGTTCAATTTCACTGGGATGTCACTCAGCTGGAGTTGTTTTTTATCTTCCGTGCTGTGTTTTTCATGGGCCTTTGAGCACGCAGGAGAAGGAAGCCCACAGGTATCACAGATGCTCTAAGAGAAGACTCCAGTCTTCAGAAGACTCCAGTCTCCCCTGCAAGGCTCAATCCCGTCGTTACAGTGAGGATCCATGACTGAGCCTTTATCCAAACACATCAGGATATAAAACCCAGAAGAAACAAGATCTACCACTTCCAAACGGGCCTCACGCACACTCAGAGTTGTGTGTTGCCCCTCCAGCTACAAGGACAGAGCTGTAACCCCAATTCTTCTGAAGCAGCTACGCTGGGGACAGAGATCAAAGCGCCTGGGGAAGAAAAAGGAGAGTACTGATGACATGGCACCCTTTTTAAAAAGTTCTGTCACAGTTCCTGTGCTAATGGAAAGAGTTGATGTGATTAATGAGGGCGTACCTGTAACAGGAGGCTCGGGGAGGGATATGTTGCTGTTGCAGGGCTGATGGTTAAACCACTGGGAGTTGTCTCTTCCACACCCGCTGGAATTCTGTGCCATCTTTATCCTCTCACACCCCACTGGTCCTGTCTCTGGCAGTGCAGAAAGGCACCTCCTGCAGACAGACAGACAGACAGAGGGCTGAGAGCCAGAGCAGGGCCAGTGTGTGCACTGAGCACAGGCCTCCAGACCCTAGATGCTGCAGCCTTCCCCTAGCATTAAGCAGTTGGTTTCCTGCTAAAACCTCTTTTTGCCCAGGACGAATATTTTTTCCCCCTCATGATGTTCTACTCTTCCCTGGAAAGGTCCAGAGCACCTTGGTGAAAAGGTTTTCCTAAAAGCAATCATTTTCACTCCTTTCCTAGTGCTGAATCACCACTAGATTCACTGTGAGAACAGAGGATTTTCATCAGCACAGACTGAAAATGATTGTGAGACAACATCTAGTCTGGGCTCTTGCACTGTCGGCATCACAGACAGGCTGGCAGCCACAGATAAATACAATCACAGAATGGTTTGGGTTGGAACATCTAGTCTGGGCTCTTACATTGTCGGCGTCACAGACAGGCTGGCAGCCACAGAATAGAATGACAGAATGGTTTGGGTTGGAAGGGACCTTAAAGAACATCAAATTCCACCTCCCACCATACCAGGTTGCTCCAAGCCCCCTCCAACCTGCCCTTGAACCCCTCCAGGGATGGGGCAGCCACAGCTTCTCGGGCCAACCTGGGCCAGGCTCTCACCACCCTCACCCCAAACAAGTTCTTCCCCACAGCTCAGCTCCATCTCCCCTCTTGCAGGGTCCAACCCTTCCCCCTCCTCCTAGGGCTCCCCTCCTCATCCAGAGTCCCTCCCCAGCTTTCCTGGAGCCCCCCTTCTTTAGGGACTGGAAGGAGCTGGAAGGTCTCCCCGGAGCCTTCTCTTCTCCAGGCTGACCCCCCCCAACTCTCTCAGCCCCCCCTCCCAGCAGAGGGGCTCCAGCCCTCCCAGCATCTCCGGGGCCTCCTCTGGCCCCGCTCCAACAGCTCCATGTCCTTCTGCTGTTGGTGGCCCCAGAGCTGGAGGCAGCACTGGGGGGTGTCTCCCCAGAGCAGAGCAGAGGGGCAGAATTCCCCCCCCCGGCCCTGCTGGACACGGGGCTGGGGATGCAGCCCAGGATCCTATTCCCAGAATGTTCCTGTAATTCCCACTGAGGTTTCCCAAAGTTCTGGGTTTGGGATGTGACCGAGTCCAGTGACACAACTCACTTGTACGGGCATTTTGCCATTGCTGTTGTCAGACATGCTGGCCAAATTCCTGCCACGTGTCTAGCTCTTTGATGTCACCCCACAGCTGCAGCACCACCAGCGCCTGGAGGAGAAGTGTGAGAGGTGAAACACGTCACACGCAGAAGCAACAGGACAAAGACAGGCTCGGGTGGGCCCAGCTGTGAGCCCCAGGCCTTCATCCTCCTCAACCCTCAGCCAGCAGCCCTGGCATCAGCCCTGGCCACCAAAGGCACCCAGCAGCAAGGAGAGGACAACAGCAGGACATCTCCCTCAGGAGGATGAAGCTGGGAGGGGAGGAAGGCTGGGCTGCCTGCATTAGCTCTGTTTACACAGCGCCGCAGCAAAGCCCGCTCATCCTTCTTAGCTCCCAGTAAGCCAGTGAGTCACAACCCCCTTTGGGGCACACTCAGGCAGGGCAGGAATTTAGTTCAAGGGATATCAAGCAAGGGTTTAGACGGTGCTTGACCTAGTTTATGGCTGCGGTGGCATCACGAGGAGCATCGCTGCTCTGCTGTGGGACGCAGGCTCTGCAAGGCAGAGACCCCAGCAAGAAGGGCAGTTTTTGGTGGGGTTGGGGAGGGGTGGCTGGATCAGATCTGAACCAGGGCGTCAAGAACAAGAGGTTCCAAGGCTGCAGTCCCTCTTCAACCCATTGCCACGGCGAAGGAGCAGGCACTGTGATGCAGCCTGATCCAAGCCAGCCACCACCTCCCCCGGCAAAGCATCCCTTGCACACAAAAGCTCACCAGTGGGAGCCTTTTCCACACAGCTCAACCTCAAGTAACATAAAGTTTCAAGGACCATAAGGAGTTCTACCTCCTGTTATCTCCTCTGGAGTCACAGCCAGCTCTGGGCCAGGCTGGGAGCCGGGACGCTGCTTCCCAGGGCTCGGTGCCTGCCCTGCTCCTGGTTACACCTCCAAGCACAACCCACCGCTCACAAACTCCACATGTTCCCACCTCAGGGCTGCTCCCTGATCAAGAGGAAAAGGCCAGAGTTAACCCCCCCCCCATCTGCTCCCTCCCAGTCTGACTTGAAGCTGGAGATAAAGCTGAGTTTGTCCC